TCCTGACTTCCCTGCTCTCCACTTTCCTGGTGCTCCATATCCTTGTTAGCTCAGGCCAATTTTAGCTGCTTTACCTCATACCTGTTTTTCTCACAGATAATCACTTATGCTCTCTAGCTTGCATGTCCTCCCACTTCTGCTGCCTGTTTGGCCTTTGGTTTTGGCAATCCCTGGTTTCTATCTAAAGCTGTTTTATGAGTTTGATCCTTTCTGCCTGGGAGTTGTCCAGTTGGCACCAGGGAGATCTGTTTTTCCTCCTGTCTGTGTGTGCAGCATGTGTACACTTTGTCAGGCTGCCAGTCTGCAGTTACAAGAAACACAGGTCACAAAATAGAGACCTGTTTCACTGTGTTCTGAAGAGCAGAATTCTATACAAAGTACAAAAATACAGTGATGTTTTCTTTCTACCATGACAGAAAAGCCATTGTATTGAAAGCCCAAAATCAAATGTCAGAGGCACACAAACTTCTGCAGAAATTGTTGATCCACTGCCAGAAAATCAAGAACACCGAGATGGTGATTAGGTAAGAATGTTTCATTTGCAGAGTATTAAAGCCACTTTGCAGTGATTAGAATCACCCATTTCAATTTGTCTGTGTTCAGACTTCACTAGTCTTCAGATTACCTGCTGTGATTCTGAGATTACAGAGTCATTTCAATTATTAATCACAATATGGAGGAATCCTCAAAATATTGTGTCATTTAAACCTAGTTATTTTTAATATGTAAACTAAAAGGTGGTAAAGTTAAAGTTCCATGAAGGTTCCTGGAAGAAGGAAACACTGCATCTAAAATAAATAGGAAATGTGTGTATGTGTGTTTGTGTAGTTTTACCTTGGTGTAAATCTTGAGAGAGCTGTTTATCTTTATTTAAAGATATTTAAATAAAGATATTGTATATTACATATTACATATTACGTATTATATATTATATATTATATATTATATATTATATATTATATATTATATATTATATGTTATATGTTATATATGATATATTATATATTGTATATTATATATTATATACTATATATTATATATGTTATTTAATCTTTTATATGCCTGTGGCATCTCCTCTTAAGGGTGTAATTCAAATGTATTGTATATGTAGCAGTGTAATTTGTAATAAAACCAATACCCTTGTGGATGGAATAATTCCCTGGGAACAAGGGGACATTTTCACCCAGAGTGAAGTCTGTAAGTGCTGCTCCCTGTTTGCCAGGGTGCTGCTGTGCATGGCAGAGCTGTACTGGAGGTCCTCGTGCCACACCATCGCGCTGCCCGTGCTGCTGCAGGCTCTGGCCCTGGCTCGCGAGTACAGCCTGCAGTACTTGGCCTCTGAAACCGTGCTCAACTTGGCTTTCTCCCAGGTAGGGCTGATTTGTGTTTTCACAGGGCTGCAGGGCAGCATTTATTCTGGGGATCTGGATGCTGTTTTTACTCCTGTGAGATTTAAGAACACAGCCTTGTTGGAATTAAATTATTGATTGTGAAGAAGCAAACTCTGGATGTAAAAGCTTTCGAGGAAGTTAATAAACTTGAGTTTCATGTGTATCACTAAAATTTATACTTATTGGGTATAATTAAGCAGTATACATTTCCCCTGTCTTAATGTCTTCAGTTATCTTTTCATGCTGGTATCTTGGCTTTCTAGCAGCACAGGTTGGCTTGTATATTAAAATTAATGCTGGTAATGAGTTCAGTTATATTGCCTATTCTGAGAGGCATGGCTGTCAGCACTGAGTGGAGAAGGCTTTCCCAATCATTTCTACTCACAAGTTTTGATTTAAAAGAAGATTGTCGGGAAAAAGTTGGAAAAAAAAGATGCATGTTACATCATGTTACTAGAAACAGACATGGCTTGTGTTGGTGTTCCCTGAAGAAGCTGCTCTTATCAGTGGATTCCAGTGTGAGACCAACAAGGATTTCTCTTTCAGCTGATCCTTGGCATTCCTGAACAAGCCCTGAATATCCTGCACATGGCAATAGAACCTGTCTTGGCCCACGGAGCTGTCCTGGACAAAGGCTGTGCCATGTTCCTGGTGGCCAAATGTCAGGTGGCTTCTGCAGCTTCCTACACTCCACAAAAGAAGATTGAAGGTAGTGTGAAGAGTAATTCTCTCTGAAACTGCTCACAAGTGCAAACCAGTGTCTGTACTGGAATCCCGCTACACCAGAGTGTGTTACCTGGTTATTGTATACAAAATTCATTTGGAATTAGTTGTTGCACAGATGTTTATAATGGAACATTGTTTATCTGCATACTTTCACACACATATTTTGCAGCAAAGGCTGAATAATGGAAAGTAGCTGAGAGACCACGTTGCTAAGACACAAATGGTTTTGCAAAGCTGAGGAATTTGTAATTGGCCTCCTTAGACTTGAGCTGCCTTGGAGATATTACTGTGATATTTGCTTAAATATGAATGTCCCCCTTTTTCCCACAGCTTTGGAATCTGCTATCTTGAATCTAAATGAAGCCAAGAGTTACTTTGCCAAAGTGGACTGCAAAGAGCAGCTCAGAGACGTTCTCTACTTCCAAGCGCGGCTGTTGCACACCCTGGGCAGGAACCAGGAAAGGAACAAATGTGCCATGTTGTTCCGTCAGCTGCACCAGGAGCTGCCAGCACACGGTGTCCCCTTGATCAATGCCTTCAAGTGATGCATTTAAAGATGAGATTTGTTTGTTTTCCTGTTCTGGTTTTGTTTGTTTGTTTTCTTTTTTTATGAACACCTTTTTATTGTATTCAGTCATCCGGGTTTCTGAATAACTGCCAATAAATCATGGTCTGGTCTTGAACAAATTTGTGTTTTGTAACACAAATGTCATTTTCCACCCGTTTCACTTTTATTCTCTACTTGAAACTAAGAAATTAGCAGGGAAAAAAGAGCAAAGACCCTCTTGACTGTGTTGTAAGCACACTGCGGGGAGCAGTGCAGTCACGAAGTAGTGTTCTGTTCTTAGGAGTGACATTTCCCAAATCAATGCAGGCTTTATGAACACAGGAGTACAAAAAATAGTGGAAAATGTAGGCAAAGCTCCTTTGTGCTCTTTTTAAGTGGTATGGAAGGGGGAGTCTAATTTAAAAAGTGTCCTTGCTTTTAACCTGTCTGCAGTTGCTGTTTACGCTGCAGAAACAGATGGTGCTGCCAGAAAGGGAAAAAACAGGGTTCAGTCAGAAAGGTGTAACAGTGCAAAGTCCTGGCACTGTTGTTCATATGTCCTTGTGCAGAGGGGGGATGAGGAGGGTGAGGAGTGGGAAACAACAGCCCCAGCTCAACTGAAATGTTTTATTGTGTGTGTTCTCCCCTCAGCACTGTGTGTCATTCACCTGCTCTACTTTTATGGGTGAATAGATGAAGATCACAACTGAAGTATCTGGAGGGGCCAAGAAATCTGGAGAGGGACTTTGGGCAAGGGCCTGGAGTGGATTGGATTCCCAGGGTTGGATGGGGAATACCACCCTGTGAGGGTGGGGAGGGAGGCCCTGGCACAGGGTGCCCAGAGCAGCTGTGGCTGTCTCATCCTTGAAGTGTCTAAGGCCAGATTGGACAGGGCTTGGGATAGTAGCAGGTGTCCCTGCCCATTGGTGGACTTTGAGATCCCTTCTATCCCAAACCATTCTGTAACTGAGTATGTGATGCTCATTTTGGAAGAAAATTTCATTTTGACTGTCGTGTGCAATTTGAGGGCAGACAAGATTGCACTCCTGTGAGTGTAAACCTTTGGTGGGTGCCACTCACCTGGTGACTACAGAAAAGCTGAGCATCATTAAAGCCCCGGAGCTACCCTGCTTGGAAGCAGCAGATTTAACTGTGGCATTGCCACCCCAGACCCAAACCTGGTTCTGCTGGAGCTGGACAAGGTAAGGAGGAAGAGAGAAGCACTAGGGTGTGGTTGAGACAAGCATAGCCCGGTGTTAGTTTACACATTCCATTAATTAGTGCTGCATCGGGGCTGTTGGCAGATCATCAGGGCCTTGATTTTAAAACGAGGTTTCCAACAGCAAAGGGAAATTTAGCTTTGTGGAACCCTGGTGATGCCTCATTCCCGCTCTGCTGTGTTTTAACCAACATCGAGGAGTTTAATCCTTAAAATGTTCGGAGCACCTACTGCGTTCCGGTAAGTAACCTGATTTTTAGAGCGGCTTTCAAGATTCTGGTCAGAAATACAATGTTTATCGACAAAGCTGGCATGGAGGCCTGGCTCTGCTCTGGGGAGCTCTACAGTGTCAAAGTGGTGCCCACAAACGAGCCTTGAAGCAAAATGAGGAAGAGGGTTTGGCCAGCTGTGGCATTTGCATCTGCTCAAGGCTGAAGCTGTTGCTTCATGTAAAGAAAACCGGGGGTGAGCTTGGTGCAGAAATGGTGCTGGATGGAAATAAAAACAAACCCCAAATACCGGACAAAGCAAGGGGTATGTTTGCTGAGGGCCGGTGTCAGCCGGGTGTTAAAGGCCGTGCAGATAGCAGATTCCAAAGCCTTGCCCGTGAGCTCTGTCTCAGCGCTACAGAGCGGTAACTTGTGTGGGAACTCTTTGGTGGTGGCCTCTGTGACATTTCCAAACAACTGCTTTCCAAACCGCCCCTTTGGGTGATGCTTCGGGCAATCGCTGGGTGCGGGGGAACTGGCGCGGGTAACCCGTTTGTCCCCAGCCGACCTGCCGCTGGCAGCGCAGGGTTTGCAGGGGGCCGGGGCAGGCAGCGGCGCCGGGGCACGCCGGGGTTCGGGTCCCTCCGAGGCGGCCGCGGGGAGCCCGCAGCGGGGTCGGCGGCAGCGGGACCGGCCGGGGTTCCGCGCTGCATCCCGCGGGGAGGTGACGCGCCGCCCGGGGGGGAATAAAACACTGGGGGAAAATTTGTAAATAAACAAAGGAACAAAACACACCGCAACAGCGGCTTACGGGGGCGGGCGGGCAGGATGCGGCTGCCCGGGGGGAAACCTGCCCTTCCCCGGGGCGGAGCGGGGCCTCCCTCTCTCCCTCCCTCCTTCCATCACTCCCTCCCTCCTTCCCTCCCTCCTTCCCGCTGCCGCCGCCGGAGCGGAACCGAAAGCGAAGGCGGCGCCGGGCAGCGGCGCTCCGGCCCAGCGCGGCGGGGGCTGCGGGGGCTGCGGGGTCCCGGGGTCGCTCCCCGCCAGGTCGGTGCTGCGGGAACGGGCGGGGAGGCCGGGCGGGCCCGGCAGGGGATGCGCCCGCGGTGGCGGAGACAAAGCCGCGCCCGGAGGGAGCGGGCGGGCGGGCGGGGGCGACCGAGGCGGGGATGGAGCGGGGCTGGGGCTGCGCTGCGGGCGGCGAACGGCATCGCCCCCGGACGGGGCTCTCTGGCGGCCTGTGCGGACACCCCCGCGCTGCGGGCTCGCTGCTGTCATTTCCCCATCCCGCCCCTGGCCGCCGGGCCCCGCGCACATCCCGGCCCCACACGTGCCGCGGGACCGGCGGGCGGCGGCGCCCCGGGGATCGGCCATGGGACCGGGTGGCCACACCGCGTGTCCCTCAGACCCCACGGGGCTCCTGTCCGAGGGTTGAGGGCCGGGATCGGGGGTGCCGCACAAAGATAGGCCATGGGGCTGGGAAAGGAGGGGTTTTTAAGGTCAAGGGACGAGTGAGAGGGGATGGAGCTGGCGGAGCGACTGTGCACAGGGCACGGGGCTCATCAGAAGCCACAGGTTGGGTTGCTGCGAGTGGCAGAGCGTGGTTCGGAGGTGGATGCAGCCCTGCAGCCACGTGCACGGCACAGAGCATCAGGAGCATGAAGGGAACAGTCGAGACCAAGAGCAAAGTGAGATGACCACGGGAAGCTGGTGTGATGGAGCTGTGGGCTGACTGCAATGCTGCGGGGGCAGAAACCACCCCGGGGGACAGGAGCAGGTTGTCCTCAGGGCCAGGGGGACCGTGCTGGGGAGAGGATGTGTGGCAGCTGTGGGCGCCAGAGCTGCCTTCAATAGCTCACACCCACAGACACAGCCCCTCCCCTGAGGCAGAGACAAACCCCAAAAGCCCGTAAGCCCATACCTGAGTGTGCTGTGAGGGCGGGCTGTTCCAGGGAGGTAATTTGGAGGAGCCTTTGCTTTTCAACTCTGCCTTAATGTCTTTTAAGTGGTGTTCACAAAGTGGAGAGCTGCTCCTGTTTCTTCTTCCATGGTGGGCTGGAGCTGATGTTTCCAGGAAAGCTGGGAGTTGCTTGGCAGTGCTGGACAAGGTGATGGAGGTGCCCTGAGCTTATCCTGCTCCATGCTCAACACCATCTCTGGAGCTTAGGCTCTTTTGGGATGCTCATTATATATTGTTTCAGCAGTATTAGGCAGTATCCTCAAAATTATAAAAAAAGATGTTTTTGTTATTCCTATTGAAACCTGCTGCTGGGTGTTGTGACACCACAATGTTACCAGCCTGGCTTTGCATTTTTTTCCCCCAATTCTTTCCACTCTGTGTTGGCTGAGCCAGGCAGTGCAGGAGGCTCTTCCATTCATCCTGGGGATGATGAAAAGCTTTGCTGCTTGGGCACAGGGACCTGTCCTAGATGGGGCATGGGCACCTGTTTCCAGTATCTCATAAATTTGGGTGTCCTCTGACTTCTAGAAAAGCTGCTGAGAGATTTTTTTTCCATTAAAAGTCAGGTAGGGCATGCATATGGTCTTTGTATACTACAGTGACTAATATATTTCTGGCAAGGTCTGTGCTCACCCGTAGGAAGGGAAACTGTGATCGATGCCCCTGTTGCTGCAGATGACACCACTCTTGGCACGGGCACTTCCACCGCTGACCGTGACCGGGGAAAGCAAAATAGCCACTGGACTGTGCCCAGGGAGACCAATAACTGCCCCAGGCTGGCCCTGCTTGGCTTTTAACCAACCTCCAGCAGTAGCAGGGGAGGATCTCTGCGAGTAAAATCAGCCTTGGTTTCGGTGTTTTGAGTTCACTTTTGTTCTAAACAGCTGAAGTTGGGATTTGTGAGGTGACCCCCATGGAAGGATGGATGGAGGAGTCACTGCTGAGCTGCCATCAAGTCTTATTTCCCTGGAAGGGCCTGATCCTCACACTGTGTCTGGCCTTGCCACAGTGACAGGTGTGGCGAAGGCAAGTGTGCAGCCCCTGCAGCTGGGCAGAGAAACAGCTCCGGGGAGGGAAGGGCAGGCAGATGCATCCCTCTGCTCTGACTGAAATCCCTGCAGGCAGTGCTGGCTGCCAGGTGTCACCCTCTGCACTCGCCTGGAATGGGTCAGCGTGTTCCCCTCCCGAGGTGGCTGCATCCAGCCCAGGCAGGGCCCAGGAGCTCTCAGCAGAGCTGGGGCTGCCCAGGGGCTGTGAAAATCCCTCACCGTCGTGGGGGCTGAGGGCCGTGAAAATCCCTCACCCTTGCGGGGGCCGGTTCCACTCCCATTCGCTTCCGCTCAAGCCACGTGGACGCTGAGCGAGAGGGAGAGCTGCTGCCAGGGTTTCACAGATCTCTTTTCATTTTAATATCCCTCTCCTTGCTGAATTAGATGCGAGACTGATTGCTTCGATAATCCTGCTGCAGCCGCTATGGGTTATATATGGATTGCAGCCAAAAGCTGTGCCGATAAATCATTCCTATACACCAGGCTGTTATATTTCCTGAGGATTTTGTGGGCATGTGCTGCTCCCTTTTACATAAGGATCTGCTGGAGTTCAGACCAGAATCTGCTGATTTTCCCCAGGCAAGGGCTCGGATGGGTTGGTGAAGCCAAAGCCCCCAGGCTGTATTTTCTCTCTTTTGGGATTACTGCCCTCCTTTCAGCTATTTTACTTTTCTCTCTGACTGGGAATACAGCTCTTCTCCACCTCCTCCTCCTCCTCCTCATGTGCATATTAAGGATAACAGAGCTGTGTTCAATAGTATGACCCCACTTCTGGGTTTCTCTCAGGCGAGGCATCATCTCGGCAATTTCTTAAAACCCCCATCCTCTGACCCTTTGCACACATGCACAGGGAAAAGCCCTCTGATTTCCCACTTCAGACAATGTTACAATGGGGCTTGGATGACTTTTAGTTTATAGAGCCTGGGGAAGCCTGCTTGAATTAATCAGACTTGATATGTTTATCCTGGTCAAGCCAATTAACTCCCGCCAGCCAGGACAGCTCAGCTCTCAAGTGTGACTGAGGCTTCATAACTCAATTTTGCTCAAGCCTGGCAAAGTTTATCAGGAACCCTTGGAAATCGGGATGCAGGCGATGCTCTGGGGGCAGGATGGGATGCCCAGCCGTGCTGTGGCACCGCTGAGGACTGGTGTTGCTACCAGTGATGTTCTGGGGTGGTTTCATCCCAAGGCTGCCCTGATGAGCTGCCTTTTTTGGTGCGGCCGCAGAGCACGGTGAGGGTAGAGGGCACAGCATTCCGGATCAGCGCCGGCTTCAGGGCAGCTATTTATATGTGCCCACTGGAGGGGTGCCCAAAGCAGGCCAGGCAAATGGCCTCGAGATGCATCCCTGTGAATTCAGGATGAATGGGGGGGCTGCCTGTTTGTTTTAATCCATTTGGGAGTGCAGTAAAACACGCTGCCGAGGGCTGCCAGCAGCACTGCAGGGGGAATTTGACTTGGCTGGTGGCTCCTGGCTCTCTCATCCAGCAAAGCCCTGTCCAGGAGTGGATTCAGCCCCACGAAACTCAGTGTTTCTGGAATAGTTTGTCCTTGTTGCTGTTCGTTGGCTTATTTATAGCCTCCCCATCCCTGTGCTTCTCCGTGCCTCGGAGCAGCGAGCGGTGCCGCGTTGGCTTCAGCTCCAGGCCGATCCCACTTGGGCACAAAAGCTCTGGTTTATAGATCAGTGTTGAAAACAGCAATTAGGCCATTGTGAAGCCTCGAGGACGGGGGAGACGATTTGATTTCTGTACTTGACCCATAATTTCTGCTGGGCTGATTCAGAGTGGTTGTGCTGCGGGTGCAGCACGGAAACTTCAATGGAGATGAGTGGAGCTAATTTTAACCGGCCGCCTCGTCGAGGTGTGGGAACCAGGCAGAAAAACGCCTCAAACCCTGTTCCTGCTCCTGGGCTGGTTGGTTCAGGATATTTTTTTTCACTTCCTTCTGTGGCAACTTGTTAACCTAGAAATTAAAAACAGCACCAGTGTTGGGGCAGGGAAAAGCAATGGTTTACAGCCAACCAACCACTGAACAGCCCCAGGTGCTGTGGAGTGCCTGGCATGTGTGAATTAACATAATTTTTTCCTCTTTTTAAATTTTTTTAATTATCACTTAATTATTTGATGATTTAATTTTTTTTTTTTTTGTTGCTAACAGTTTTCTCATTTATCTCAAGGTTTGGGTACCTGAGTTCTGCACAAAAAGCCACAGGGCAAGGAGCAGAAATCACCAGCAATGATGGACTGTGGGAGGAAGCAGTGAGCCAGGGGGCTGGTCCTGCACCCCATGCTTGGTAAGTGGGTCCTTTTGTCCCTGAACTGCTTTGTCTGGGGGGACTTGGCAGAGATGTGAACAGTAAAGTAGAGAACTCGGTGGTATTTATGCCGATATAGCGCAGTTCTTTATCCTGCCCCTTTAAAATAACCCCTTTGGAGTATTTCCATAATGGAGATGATGGAGTTTTTACTCCCTGGAGGTGTTTAGTTAAAAAGGGTGGAAGGACCAGAGGTGGCAGCCTTGGGGTTGAGGCTGGCTCTAGCCTGGGGTCTGTCCCATGGCAGGGTGACTGTGCATCCTTGTACCATCCTGCACTGCTGCCCTTGGCTTCACCATTCCCTATGGAAAGAATAAATCAATCTGTAGCACAATGACCAGCAGGAAATCTTGCTTTCCAGAGAGTCTGGCTGACTCTATCCTGTGTTTGCAGGCACATCTCCCCAGCACAGCATGGCCAGGATGAGGCCATCGGTCCCTCCACGCCGCCACGTGTCCCCAGCAGCTCGCCCGCCCCACAGCCCCTGTGCAGCGCCGGAGGCTGCGGCCGCCGAGCCCCCGCGGCCCTGCGGGACCCCCCGGCGCTGAGCCCCGGCAGGAGCAGCATGGCCTCGCTCATCGTGGTCACTGAGCACGAGGCCGCGGGCAGCGCGAGCGAGGAGGAGATGGACGTGCCCGGCACCGAGGCCTTTGGGGACGGCCGCAAGCTGCACCTCTCCGGCCGCAAGCTGTCCCTGCAGGAGCGGCCGCAGCCCGTCCGCTCGCCCGGGCACGGCGACGGCGCCAAGGAACGCTTCATCTACCCCTCCCTCCCCTACTCCCCCGTGACCTCCCCGCACTCCTCCCCACGGCTGCCGCGGCGGCCAACCGTGGAGTCCAACCGTGTGTCCATCACAGGATTGCAGGTGAGGGGGATGAACGTTACAGGTGAGGGGATGAACGTTACAGGTGAGGAGAATGAGTGTTAGAATGAGGGGGATGAATGTTGCAGATGAGGGGGATGAATGCTGCTCCTGCAGTTCTCCTGCCCCGTCTGCCTGGATTTTCCCACAGTGGCATTTCTTCTCGCTTGTTTTTTTTGGGTATATACCCCCACAGGCCATCTGCAGGTGTGGGCAGGGGGGCCAGGGATATCCTGGGCCATGGGGATAGCCCTCAGGGAGGTGACAGCCCAACTCACCGGTTTTTGTGCCTTTGGCTGATGCTGCAGCTCTCACAGCTGTGTTTGATGGAAGCCAGGAGTGTAGCACAAGTTTCTTTACTCCTTAAAAATAAAAAAACAGAGAAGTTCACTGAGATCTAAAGAGCAAACAGGCCTGCCTCCCCCTAGCCTGACAGAAAACAGGCAGCAAGTGGCTGCTTTGCCCAGAAAAAATAAAATTACTGGCGCCAGGTCGCCAGCATTAAACCCCTCAGGGCTCTCCCTGTCCCTCCTCTGGTTCCACATGAGTGGACAGGACAGGATCCCTGCCCAGCCATTAATGTTTGCAATTAGCCCTCTATAAACACACCAAAGTGTGCCTTGGTGGGTGGTTTTGTGGCTCATGAATCAAAACTGCCCTACGGGAGTGCTTGAGCAGAGCAGGACAGGGTGTGATTTTGCAGAGAAAGTTTTGCAGGAGATTTAAAAGGACAAGAGCAAATGTGAGCAGTTTTGTGGCTCATGCCAAACTTCCCTGCTCTCTCCCCACAGGACTGTGTGCAGCTCAACCAGTACAAGCTGAAGGATGAGATTGGGAAGGTGAATATTGGGTTTGGGGTGGGATGAAGGGTTTTGGGTTGGGAGGGTGTCAGGCTTGCTTTCACTTTCCAGTCATGGGAGTGCTCCAGAATAGGAGCAAGTCCAGCCACTCACCACGGCAGCTCTTTGTTGCTCGCTGTTCTGAGTGTGCCAATTGAATTGTATATTTTTAAAATAATTACTAATTTTCCCCCTTCCCCCTCCCTCCCACACAATGGGGCATATAAAGCTTTTCTTTGCTGTCAGTGTGATGTCAGACTGTACACCCCCTGCTCATCCCAGATCTCCCACCAGCTCTGTAATCCCTGTGGGGTGGGTTTGTGGAGGAGCCTGGGTTGGTGATGTGGGTTTTCTGGATTGTCCCTAATTGTGCCCCATGGCTGTGCCCTTCTCCAGGGCTCTTATGGTGTGGTGAAGCTGGCCTACAACGAGGATGATAACACCTACTATGTGAGTAGCACACAACCCCAGAGCCTGCAGCAGGGCAGGTGGGAGGGGGATGGATCCCCTCTGCTGACCCCCTGCCCCATCCCACCAGCCACACTTTATCCTTGGCTTGCCCAAATTCCACATTTGTTCCCCTTTTCCAGGCAATGAAGGTTCTCTCAAAAAAGAAGCTGATGAGACAGGCGGGTTTTCCCCGTAAGTGGCAGGAAGCCTTTTGGCTGGGGCTGTTTTGGGGATCCTGGGGATTGTTCCCATCTGGACCCATCTTTGCCTTTCCTCAGGCCGGCCGCCGCCCCGCGGGGCCAAGGCTGCTCCCGAGGGCTGCCTGCAGCCCAGAGGGCCCATCGAGCAGGTCTACCAGGAGATTGCCATCCTCAAGAAGCTGGACCACCCCAACGTGGTGAAGCTGGTGGAGGTGAGTGCTGGCCCCTCTCCAAAACTCATCCTTGAGCGTGAGGGAGCCTGAATGCTGCAGGGATGGGCTGGGTGAAGGGGAGTGACCCCAGAAGGGAGCAAGGGCAGGTCCTGCCTTTGGAAGAATTTTGTGTTTTCCTTGATTTAGAAGGTTTTTTATTCTCACCTCCCAAAAGATTTTTTCTTCCCTTCTCAGAAAGGGAAATTATTTCTTCTGTGGAGGAAACAAGTGCTGAGACAGGTTTTGGGGAAGAACTGGTGTTTTTGTGAGTTCAACAGTGCAGCTGCCTTGCCCTACACCCACTGCCTGTATGAAACAGTCCAAAAATCAAGAATTAAGGATGTGCAGGCTGGAGTTTATTTGGCTCATGAGTCAGATGATGCTTCCTGTGTGTTTTAAATATTTGCTTCCTTGAAGTACAGCTACATCTCTGTCCTCTTTTTTTCCCTACTCTTGTGGGTAGAAGCTCAGAGATGAGCAGACCGTGCTGATGGTGCAGATGGTGCAGAACTGAGATGGCTGCTAAATAAAATATCACAATGCTTAATTTGCAAGGCTTTCTTGGCACTGTTTAATTGCTTTTTTGCTTCTTTTGGCAGGTCCTGGATGACCCCAGTGAGGATCACCTGTACATGGGTAACTGCCCACTGCTCTGGGGTGTCAGAGGGATGGGGCAGAAGGTTCCCATTGTGTTTTGGAGCAGCTCTGTGTGCAGGGCTGGGTCTCTCCTCCACTGTGGGTATAGCCTGATGTGCTGGAGGAGGAAATGAGAGGCAGTCTGGGTTGTGAACAGAGATAAGAGGGCTTTATAGCACTTTATTGGCATTAATTCGACACCAGGGCATGCTTTGCCATGAGAGGCACCAGCATTGATGTTCTCAGCTTTGAAGCTGGAATGACAGAAAGCAGTTCTATTTCTCTGGCTTTGGGAAAAGGCACGAGTTAATTATCCAAGGTACCAATGAGCCACATCCCAACCTACCTGGCAGACTGCAGTTGTTGCTTCAGGTAATTCACAACTTTTGAAGAAGGCTTGTTTTTCTATCATTTATGTTCAGCCTGTACTAGTGGAGGAGCATGTGATGCCTTCATGGCCAAGCACTGAGGTTTGCCCAGGGTGTGGGCACAGCCTTTTTGGTGGCAAACGGAGGGGTTTTGTGTGCCATGGAGGGCACTTCATGATGCTGAAGCTGCAGCACTGAGAAGACAGTTGGCAGCATCCCCTTAACTGAAAACGGGAGCAACCCAAATGCCACGTGCCTTGCATAAGACAGCATCTCCTTTTTAAAAATAACATATTATTTTTAGAATTTTTGTCATTAAAATAATTGCTTTTGTCCTGAGGCTGTGCTCAGAAGAGCCATACCCTGTAAGCAATCTGTAATCACCTTCTCTTTTGTGTTGCAGTGTTTGAGCTGGTGAAGCAGGGGTGAGTACTGAATTCCAGATTTAATCCTACTAACACTTGAACATCCAGTGGGTCTGTGGGTGGCAGAGCTTGGCCACCCAAGGTGGGAATGGGGTGCAGAGGTGATGAGGAGGTTCATGGCTGGGGCTTGAGGCTTGAGTAGCATTTCCCTGGCCTGGTTACAGCTGAGTACACCCTGTGTACTGTGTGCCTGTGTCTGGAGTTGTGTGCTGTCACCAGCCAGTGACAAAGCCTCCAAGCCCTGTTTCAGCACATCCAGGTGGGGAATGAACTCCGTTCTCTGTTGCCTTCACAGCCCTGTGATGGAAATCCCAACCTTGAAACCTCTCAGTGAGGACCAGGCTCGGTTCTACTTCCAGGATCTGATCAAGGGCATTGAATACTGTAAGTGTCTCTGCAGAAAGGATGGGATTTCTTATTTTGGGTTTTTTTCTGAACACCTGGAGCTGGCCTTTCTGCTGCTGTACGGTGCCATTTCTGGTGGCTCATGCTCTAAAGGAGTTTTTAAAGCTGGGCTGGTTGTGGTGTTAGCTGAAAGAGCCACATGGAGCCTCCGTGGCTCCTTTGCTGCAAACCAGGGCTGCTGCTGCACAGTCATTGTCCCTCTGCTGCAGTGCACTATCAGAAGATAATCCATCGGGATATTAAACCTTCCAACCTCCTCGTGGGGGAAGATGGGCACGTCAAGATCGCCGACTTCGGAGTGAGCAACGAGTTCAAGGGAGCTGATGCCCTCTTAACCAACACAGTGGGCACTCCTGCCTTCATGGCTCCAGAAACCCTCTCAGAAACCAGGAAAATCTTCTCTGGAAAGGTATTTAATAGCAATTTGAATGGTCTTGGGCTGGCCTTGCACAAACACATCTTGTTGTAGATCTAACTGTCCTTTCTTCACTCTGCAGGCTTTGGATGTGTGGGCCATGGGGATCACGCTGTACTGCTTCGTGTTTGGGCAGGTAATGAGATGGATTTTCTGGTGCTGTTGGTGTTTGGGGGGTTGGTTTGTGCCTCCTCCCATGTTCCAGGTAAGCAGTGGGACTGGCACCTTGTGTCCCTGAGCTGAGTGGAGATGAGGATGTGTGGATGGAAATGGAAAACCTTTACCTGTCCCTGGGATGGGTGCAGCCAAAAGGGTTGGGTTTCTTTTCTTCCCCAGTGGAAAAAATTCTAGTTTTGGGCAATTTTTTTAGGAAAGGAGTTCTTTTGGTAATTGGTAATTTTTGGTTAAATGTTTTTTTCATCGAGTTTAAAAGTAGACATTGATATAATTGGAAATCTTCTGGAATTTCCCTGTAACTGGATCTTTGCCCTCCTTCATACCCTTTGAGATCCTGATGCTCCTCTGGCTGCCCCACTGCTGCCACTTAAGAGAAGTTGTTGCTTTCCTCATTGCTCTTTTTCTTTGTGGTAGTGCCCTTTTATGGATGAAAGGATCTTGAGTTTACACAATAAAATCAAGACCCAAACGTTGGAGTTCCCAGACCAGTAAGTACTCAAAAACAAAAACAACCCATCCATCCTTTTTTTACAGCTCATTTGAGTTGTTTCTCAAGCACTG